CACGTGTCTGCAGAATACACGACTTCCCACTCAGAGTCATTCCAATTCTCAGTCTTAGCTGAGCACCTGCTGGGCACCAGGTAATGTGTTCGACATGTTCATTAAGATCACTGAATTTCCAGCAGATTTGAGGAAAGTGTGGTCTTTCATGATGGCTGGGTACCAGAGTGAGAAAAATCACTAAGAAATCTTCCAAATACCACAGGCTCTCTGCACTTATCTACGGCCGCTTCCGCACCCCAGGAGGCTGAGGGAGCCCGTCCATGCCCGTCCGTGTCCCAGGAGGCTGAGGGAGCCCGTCCACGCCCGTCCGCATCCCAGGAGGCTGAGGGAGCCCATCCATGCCCACCTACATAGGCCTCACTCTCTGCTCTGGGGGGTACAACAGCACGGAAGAACGCACACCCCCACCCTAGCCACTATCCTGACACTGGGATAGAAACTGGGATGGTTAAGCCAGGCACTGGGAATGGAGGAGGCACAGGGCCACTTGAACCTGCTTCCCTCACAGGAACTGACAAGACTAATTTGGAGCCTACAGAGGAGTAGAAACGTCAAAACCTGGACTTGCCTATTTAATAAAATACAGGTACAAGGTACAACAGCCCGTCCCGTATACTCCGTTGTTGTTGTTGTTGTGTGCTGTCGAGTCGGCCCCAACTCATAGTGACCCCTCCTCGGGTTTCCGAGGCATATGCTCCAGATAAAAGTAAGTATTTAATAGCCATGTTGTCTTTTCCCCAAAATGCTATGTCTTATAACCTGAGCATGAGACCACGCACAGGAAACAGGCCACAGGACAGAAGGGGAAGAAAACCTAGGAGCTCCCTTGATTTCCCCTGCAAACGCTTAGCACACTGAGCTGACAACCTAAAGGCTGGAGGCTCGAGGCCACCCAGAGGTGCGTCAGAAGAAGGCCTGGTGTCCTTCCCAGAGGTCAGAGCCATGAAGAACCTTACGGAACACAGTTCTCCCGACACACGAAGTTGCCATGAGCAGGAATCAACTCAACAACTGGAAGATAACTTGTGGTGTCTCTGGTTTTCAACTCTCAGAACTGTCTCAATCCTTCTTCCCAGAGCACCTGCTGCAGGAGAAAGGCCACCAGCTCTGTTCTGTGGCCCTCCCTGCCCGCTCCCTCCAGCAGCCAGCCTGCCCCGTCCTGCCATCACCCTCTGCAGAAGCATAGCCCCACACACTCAAGGACCGCAAGCCCCTCCAGGCCTCTCAGGCAGGCCTTCCAGCAAACCACCAACTCAGCGGGAATGGACCCTCGCCCAGCCACATCCCAAAGCGGCAGATTTCTCCCTGTACCTGGAAACCCCAAACGAATTAACTCCCTCAGTTCTCTGAAGCTTCCCACACACGCATTCCCCTTGACAATGGAAAAGCACACCTTTCCTGCATGCCACAGCAGTTCTGCTTGTGGGAGAGAAAGGACAGAAAATCAAAGCTCACGGAGTGAAGAGGCAAACCTATGAGGAAAAGCACAGTGAGGCAAGTCCACCAAGGTCCCAAACCAGGGTTCCCGTACTGAACAGTAGCTACTGTTACAATGAAAAGCCAACATCTGAAAGTAAGGCACATCAAAGGAAATCCAGATTCCTGCCCTCTTTTGAGATACAGAAAGATCTGGAACACTAAACTCAAGTTCCTACAAAGTTAACGGGGGGGATGGGGTAGAGCTAAGCAGTAGCAGCTCCTTTTAGATGGGTCATGTGTGGTCCCTGTGTGAGGCAATCCCCACACTTGTCCTCCATTGGGTCTGATCCGTGACAGCCTAGTGGACACCTTAACTGGTATCCTCTGAGCCTCAGGACACCAGGAAGAACCTTCGCATGACCTTTGCAGAGGCTGGGGCTAGATGAGGTATCTTCTCCTGGTCACTTGTGGTCCGGCCATTTCCTTTAAAGGTCCCAAATACTTTGCTGTGGACTTTAAGGCCCTACCAGTTAAGAAGAATCTGTAAAAAGTGATTGAAGGACCAAAAATAAAGGTCATTTGCAACTGAATATCTGACTTGAAAGATCAAGGTCAGTGTGGCAGAGCCAATGGCAAGTGAAAAACTTCACAGACAGTCATGCTAAGAGGTACGTGGCATGCAGAGAATGAGAGAGCGGCTCTGTCACAGACCCCAAAGGGTGGCTTCGGTGGCTCCCGCACAGCACCTCATCCTAGTTAGCATCTCAGATGCCACAAGCACTAACAGTCTGGGTTATCATCTGATGTTCACAGACACCTTGTGCTAGGAGGTTGGCTGGGCAGATACAATTTTCCTCTGACAGATACCAAAGCATAAAACAGCCAACACAGAACCTGAACTAAGGTCACACAGTAGTTAACAGGGGAAAAATCAGCTCAGAATCCAGGGGTCCCACCTCCCAGCCCTTTGCTCCTCCTGCTACAACACACTGTGTCTTTCCAGCCTCCTCCCCACGTTCCTGCAAAGGTTGCAAACTAGTCCAGAGGTCACTGTGAGACGTAGCTCCACAGGGGCTGCCTGTAGCCCCTCCATGGCTCAGCATCAGGCCCCAAAATCTCTCCCGATAGCAAGAACAGATGGACCTCTCCGTTCCCTCCACAGCCCCAGAGAAGCATGCATCCTGGGGGCTCTGCGCTTCCATGACACCTCCCGATCACCACATGGCTTCTCCCAAGAACTGCTGCGTCCCTGCCACAAGAATGTAGGCACTCAGACCCTTCATCGTTGACACCCAAAACTTAACTAACAGCTGCACCTCTCTTTCCAAGAAAAAAAGGGCCAGAAGTAGAAACTGGTAACCTAGCAGGACATTCCAAAACCATCAACGCACCCACCCTTTGACCTAAAAATCCTACTCTTAGGAGTCTGTCCTGCTGCAAAAGCAAGGCAGCCATGCTACAGGCATTCACTGCAGTACTAGGTATAAGAGCAAGTTTTTGGAAACAACCTAAGTCATTTGGGGACGGGTTAAATAAATTGTGCGTGGAATACCATGCAGCCTGTAAGAACAAAGAAAGAGAAAGTTTCTATATCCTGATACACAAACATCGCCAGGGTACGGAAAACAAACAACAAAGAGCAGAGTGTGTGCACAGCATTTTGTAATCTGCATAAAGGGAGGGTTGGATCCACGTACACACAGACACATGTGGGAAATGCCTCCATCAGGACCTCCAAGAACGCTGCTCACGTCTGGGAAGCTGGAGCAGGCAGGAGGGCAACAGAATGGAAGGATGACTTTTCACTCCGTTCCTTTTAAAATTTTTAATTTCGAGTCACATAAATGTAGTGCTTGGCTAAAACACTAAATTTAACCAACGTATTACCTTGAATCAAAAATACAGACAGTATTTCAGGATTTATACATTACTATACAAAACCCCACCTGAGAACACTGTATTATACTTAAACATTACAAGTTATTGTAACAGCTCTGGCTATTCCTTCCACCAAAACACCCACAAGCTTATCCATAAATTTATTATTATACAGGCACAGAATATAGATCTAGAAGAGTCTTCAACAAATCTTAACCTCCCAATTTATAGGTTAGAAAGCTGTGGCCCAAACAAGTTAAATAACCGGGGAAAAAAAAAAAAAAAAACCACTGCTATGAAGTCAGATCCAACTCACAGAGATCCCTCCTTGGGTTTCTGAGGTGGTATCTCTATGGAAGTAGATTGCCCAACCTCCCTTCTGAGGAGTGGCTGGTGGGTTGGAACCACCAGCCTTCTGGTTAGCAGTCAAATGCCTTAGGCACTATGCCACCAGAGCTCCCAAAAGGTTAAATGACCTTACCAAAAGGACACACGTAGTGGGTGGCATATGGCCTAGAAGCAGAGTTGCACTGCAGTCTATTCCAGACGCTTCTTCCCCCAAGCCCCAACAGTTTCCTCCTCACCACAAAAAGTCAGCAAGTGTCTTCCAGGATCCTAGCTGAATTCTGAGGTGAACGAACAAAGGCTAGTGTGAGTGAGAACCTAGTTCTGTGAGACACTTCACAAAGGGGGCAGATGGGCCTGAGAGAACAGGGGCTGCTTCTCCACTGGGTCATGTTTCAGCAATGTGTCAAGGAACAGTGAAAGCCAGGGGTCAACCTGGGTGGGGGTGACTCTACAAGGCCAATCATACCAGGATATTTGGAGGAAAAACTTCAAGCAACTTAACAGTCAGGAAACTGACAATCATTTTTTCTATTAAAACAAACACCAAAATATCATGGCATAGAATACAAGATGAGATGCATTGTTAAAGGTAAACAGAGTACTTTCAAAGAAATTTCATGCTGCTTCTGAACCCAGCGGCCCCTCTCACGCCAAGGGCCTCCCATAGACTCATTTTCCTAAACACTCAAGAGGCAGGAAGGTCTGAGGACCACACTAGAGGACCTGGAAGAGTTTTCTCAACAGGGCCAGAGCGAGACAGGCCTGGAGACGCAGCCTCATTCTCGCCGTTCCGTGATCTCGGGTCAGTTACTTAACATCACATGGAGCCCAGCATCCGTTTCTTCATCTGTAAAACGTGGCCAATACTACTTCCCTTACCGTTTTATTGTAAGGGTTGGAGATAATACAGGTTAAACACACTGCCCAGACTACAGAAAGAGTCATCTACTGTTACCAACATCACAGAGCTATCAGCATTCCTATCTGACCATCTAACCGTTCAGAAGCCCTGGTGGTACAGTCATTAAAGTGCTCAGCTGCTAACTGAAAGGTTGGTGGTTTGAACCCACCAGGCGCTCCACAGGAAGAGAGAGATGGCAGCCTGCTTCCGTAAAGATGACAGCCTTGGAAACCCTTTGGTGCAGTTCTACTCTGTCCTGTAGGGTCCCTAGGCATCAGAATCGACTCGACGGCAGTGGGTGACAGCAGCGTATCTAACCGATCCATTTGATTCAATTTGTGAGAATAAGGTGAGGTGGGAAATGGATCCTTATAAGCCCTCCTAAGCAGTCCCAGAATAAAATAGGCTAATGGGATAAAAACCCTAAGTGAATACTGATTTTTATACTCACATATTTCATTTCAAACTTCTTAGCCAACATTTCAACCTCTTGCCTCTCCTGATGCTCATCGTTAAATGGGTCTTCCATGTGAACGGGCTTCTTCTGAGGCAAAGGGAATGGAAAAGAAATGGAAGGATTAGTGTGACTTCAATCAGTGTTGAATATATTGATAAATTTAAGCAATAATGAGAGTCAATTTTCCTAAATACTAACAACTGTAATCGCAAGTAAAGGAGCTCTGGCAGTGTAGTAGTGGTTCAGACATTTGGCTGCTAACCAAAAGATTGATAGTTCAAACCCACCAGCCACTCTCCAGAGATGGAAGCAGTCTGCTTCCATAAAGACTTACAGCCTTGGAAACCCAATGGAGGTCACCATGAGTCAGAATCAACTTGCTGGCAGTGAGTTTTTTGGACAGTCAGAAGTATTACAAGTAACTAGAAAGAAAAGTTGGTTCAAAAAGCATTCATGGTTGTAATGGACTCTCACACATTCCACAAGATTTTTCTGGTGGCCAGCAACTCAACAATCCAAATGATTTCCACCTGCACAAGGACCCTCTGGTCGTCCCAGCAGAACTACCAAGGCTGGAAACACCAGGAAAACCAGGTACAGGTGAGAACCCCACCTTCTGCCTGAGATGCACTGCTCTGGTCAGAATGCACGTACTAGCATCTGCACACCATGCATTGGAGGCAGCCTCCCGTCAGGTGCCTGGGGGCTGTCACCGGGTTACCTGCACTGAGAGGGCTTTCGGTGTCCTCCTGAGACCCAGTATCCTACAGCCTCTCCGTTCTGTCAGCGAACAGCCATCCAGGGAAACGCCACTTTCAAACAAAGCTAGAATGTGAAACGGCTGCACAAAGATCACATTCACACGGCTCCTTCTAACAGAGGGGAGAAGGCAAGCTCACTGTAACACACGGCTTCCCGCCACACACGGCACCATCTTGTTACCCAAACAGAGATAAATCACCTCCAACACTCAGATCTACCAGGCAGTAGACACATGTTATATGCGTGGTTTCTCAGTACACACACAAGTCAAAACAAAAGGGATGAAAGTGCTGTTTTATCCAATTATGGACAGCTGGATAGAAAGTTAATAATAATAATGAAAGGAACACCAGATGTTTTCATTGAAGTAGCACCTTCAAGTATTTAAAAATGGAAGTGTATTACAGCTGAAATCCTGGAGATGGATTTGCCTGACCCCCAAGGGTAAGGGAAAAATGCAGAGGGGATGAAGATTTGCACACTCTGGAATTTAGACACTTCCTTCTGGATACAAAGGCTGAGACACCGTCAGTCTGAAAATCATGAGGGACACACGAGCAAAAAGAAACCCATCTTAAAGGTTAAAGAGTTCACTGTAGAACCAATCTAACAGTTAGCTATTATAGCAACTAAGAAATATACAGACGCCTTTCTTTACTCCAGCAGGTGTCAACAACAGAAATCATCAACACAATCTAAAAGGAAAGGAAGGAGCAGGAACAGATGGACAATGCAGGAAGGACCCTAGGTTGGTCCGGGGCACAGCTTAACTGAAGCGAGGGGGATGGCAATGAGCAGTCACCAGCCCTGGCTGTTACCAAGTTATCAAGTACCCCTGCACATCACTGTGCAGTTCAGACGCTGGGCCTCACCACCCCTCGGGGCCAAGTGGACGTATGAATACAAACAGACGGGTGTGCATTCTGAGTAAGAATTACCCCACAGGCCATTCCAAGGTATTTCGTGTAGACTTTATGTAGGCATCAAAAAGTCCCTATCTACTTTCCATGACCTTGAAGACAAATTTAGGAAAACTGATGCACTTTTCTTTCAGAGTTGAGAAAGAATTCTCCTCCTCCCTAAAAATCAAGGCTCTGATTAAGCTTCTTTATGCTTTTTTTAGGTAAAGAAAAAGATCTGAAAATATCAAAATTACTAACTACCCACATGCAAAATTAATGTAGTAATTTTCTCCTTTTATCTTAACTCGTTAACACTATTTTGAAGAACTATTTCATGTACCTTACCCAAAGTGCAACAGCACAAGTCATGGGTCACCACAGAATTCTCAAACAGCAGTCACAGTACCACTGCAAACACTCATCTTTCTTTTTATAGTAAATGCTCAATTAATGTGCTGGCTAACGACTTTCTGGTTCACTAAGAGTTAAAACAGAATTTCTCGCGTCTCAATCATTGCCAGAACTTGTTTCTAAAATGCAGTAGGAGAGGTTTGCCACAAATGGTGACCTTCAGCTTTCAGGAGAGAAAGGAAGGCCGTGCCCCAGCCACCACCCAGGGTGCCCTGAATCCAGCCTGGCACCCTACAGAGAGACAAGAGGGACTGGGCCCTGACAACCGAGAAGGTGGCTTTCTCTGTCCTATTTTGCTAATATACGCTTATTAATCGTGCCTTTCCTTGTTAATCAAGTACAGAGAACAATTCAGATTGATTCGATAAAGCACAACTTTACTGTTCACTTAGTATTTATGAAGGGGGCTGATTTTAAACCACCCCAATATAGAGGATCTGGAGCTAAAATCTTATTCAGTAATAAACTGCTATTTCAAAATTGTATAACCTTTTTTTCTTTTAATTTTACAAAATCTACTCTCAGCCTGCTACATGCTATATACTGTTCGATTACAATAACTCAAAATTAAATCTATTGTGAAAATATTACAACATGCCTAAAAATAATAATTGCACTCTCTTTGAAGGGAAGGAAAACCCAATTTGGAAACAGCCCCTCCGCAGACCAGGGCAATGGCTGCCTCTGCGTTTGACATCTCTTCCCGGGGCTTCCTGTCAGGGAACCATGACGACCTGACTTTATCTGGAAAGGCTGCATGCTACGCTTGTTTACATAAGAAATATGTTCACTGGGAACAATCACAGAAAATTCTGTTGCAAAAGTGCACTGAAGACACAATGGATTGCTCCATCCAGTGGAATATACCAACTGACACGTGGAACCTGGCCGCCATCATCAGCTATGGGTAACTGTACAAACAAGCAGAAAAATGGCCCAATCGAACCCCTAAATTAAAAATACAGACTAAACATAAAAATTAAACAGAATTATTCATCTCCTTCCTATTACCTGAGAGTAGTAACTCTGGTATAGTCAACAAAGCTAGGGATCAAAAGTGAACTTTTTTGTGAACTTTTCTCCTTTTTTTAATTATACATCTCGCTCAGTGCCATCGCGTTGATTCTGACTCATAGTGACCCCCCCACTGGGTTTCCCAAGGCTGTGAATCTTCACGAAAGCTGACTGCCTCATCTTTCTTCTGCAGAGAGGCCAGTGGATTCCAACCGCCAACCTTCTAGGTGGCAACCAAATGCCTAAAACACTGCACAACCAGAGCTCCTATAAGACACATACCTATTATTAATTTAGCCTGGCATGAATATTGCAACAAACAGAGGGTCACAATAGTGTTTGTATTTCTAAAACCAAAAACCAAACTCACTGCCGTTGAATCAGATCCGACTCACAGCGACCCCTGCTTGGGTTTCCGAGGCGGTATCACTAGGGAAGTAGGTTTCCCAGTCTTCCTTCTGACTGGCTGGCAGGTTTGAAGCACCAGCCTTCTGGTTAGCAGTCAAGTGCCTGAGGCACCACTCCACTGCATTTCAGCAGGATCCTCCAGAGCTCAATTCTAAGATCCTTCCCTACTGAGAATCGGTTCCACCGTGGACAAAAGTGTTTATAACCTTAGGTCTGCTGACGGTGCATCAGCCTCACCTGTAAAACGGGGATAACGGCTCTCAGCGCACGGAGCTCTTACTGCCTGAGCCAGCACAGTGCGAGAAGCTGGGGCTAGCACACGGTAAGAACTCAGGAAACGTTAGCTATTTTTATGTATTTTTGCCCAAATAGGCTGTTTTTCACCTGCAATTTATGAGTAGATTTGGGAGTAAAACTGCAACTTTACTTGTATTAGGAGTTCAACTATAATTTGAAAAATGCTCCAATCCAAATTTTTCAAAATTATGACATTATGAAAAATAAGCCATCATATGCCCTACATAATTGTTGTTGTTGTGTGCCGTCGAGTCGGCCCCGACTCATAGCGACCCCTCCTTGGGTTTCCGAGGCAGTATCACTACGGAAATAGGATTGTCCAACCTTCCTTCCGAGGAGTGGCTGGTGGGTTTGAACCACCAGCCTTCTGGTTAGCAGTCAAGTGCTTTAGCCACTATGCTACCAGAGCTCCTGCCCTACATAATAGGGCCACTTTCACTGAAGTGACTCTATAGGACACATGTAGAAAAGACTAAAATGACCTCTCCCTTTAAGTCCTTTTGGGTGAAAACATTCAGCAATGATCGCCATACAACAATATTAGTAAACAGTCACCAAGAGATCAGTGGCCATAAAATAAATAAAATCTCGTGACAATGTTTAATGTGCTACTTTTTGACTAACCAAAAAAAAGAAAAATACCAAACTCACTGCCGTTGAGTTGGATCCGACTCAAAGCGACCCCTCCTTGGGTTTCCAAGGCGGGATCACTATGGAAGTAGATTGCCCAACCTTCCTTCCGAGGAGTGGCTGGTGGGTTTGAACCGCCAGCCTTCTGGTTAGCAGCCAAATGCCTGAGGCAATACGCCACCAGATCCACTCAATTCAACTATCAAGACAGCTGAGATAACAGAGTGAGTGACTTCTGGAGTCTATTAGGCCTGTGCTCAGCGAAACCTGTTTAATAAAGGGTGCAACCTCCAACCACCACACTCAACTGCTCTCCTTCCGTCCTTTCTGGCTTCTAAAAATCACCCACCCACAACAATAAAAAACACAATTACCAACAAACCCCTCTCCTATCCCCATTGTTCAGTTCCAGCAAAGACATACCTACACGTTTCCAAAAAAGTTTTTAAATATTCAAAGCTAAGATATTTTTCATCAACCCCCTAAATTACAATGGCCAAGCTGTAAAGGGTCCAACCTGAACCTATAACCCAGTTGCTGACAATCAAGTAAGAGTATGTGATCGCGAGGCGCCATATAAAACAGACGGGAGGGACACGTTCCTCCCACTCCATTACAACGTGCACCAACTCCACGGAAAACAAAGCTAAAAGGGTTTAGCAGCAGTCGCTGAGAGAGCCCAACAAGCGGCCAGATAACGCACTTCTCCCTCGCGGCCAAAGTGGAATCTCTGATGTCTGAAAATCTTGAGTTGACTTTCCAATCCCCTTCTGCGGAGAGAGCGCGCACACGCACACACACGCGTCAGCAGCCACAGCGCCATGCAGGGCAAACACTGATGAAGATGAGGACGAGAGCAAAGGGGTGCCAAAATCGCTCGGCTTCAGGCTGGGGGGCGTGTCCCCCAAGATTTGCTCTTCCGTCCACGGGAACGCCAGCCAGAGCTCCACAATGAAAACCGGACTACACACCTTGCAGGGCCCCAGACCGTGCGTGGGGAGCAGAAGGGCAAGGGGTGGAGCACAGCAGCACCGGATGGGAGCACCGTGAGGGGCGAGGGCAGGGCTCGGGGGGCCCGAGGAGGGCCCGACACCCAGGGGAAGAGGAGGCAGCCCCGGCCCCCCACCCGGCCTCGGGGCGTCCGAGGTGCTCGGCGGCCGGGGTCCTCTGTACCCGTTGTTCTCCGCACAGCAGCAGCTCGGGGTAGCTGAACTCCACGCAGCTCTCGTCGGTGGGGTCCTTGAGCACAAGCTCCAGGCGTACTG